TTAGCTCAGGCTTCTTGTTAGCTAATTTTTATATTAGCCCATTATTCCTGTCTGCGTTAGCCACGTGGCTCAGTACCCTTTTCGGCGAGACACATCATCTTCTGTGGCTGGGTAGCAACTGCAGAAATGAGCTTTCTTCCCAGAATTCTTCTGTTCTCATCTCCCCGCATATACTTCTTGCCTGGCTACTGGCCAATCAGTGTTTTATTAAAATACAACTGGCAAGCTACAAACCATTGTCTTACACAGTTATCTATAGAATTAAAAATAAACATTGAAATTTTAAGCCAGGGGCAGGTAAAAATAGATTAAAAATAACTAAGAATAGGGCTCTAGAGATTAGTGGTTAAGAGCGTTTCTTGCTCTCTCAGAGGACTGGAGTTTGGTTCCCAGAACATACATCAGATAGCTAACAGCCACCCATAACTCCAGTGCCACGGCTCTGATGTCCTCTTATGGGCTCTCTGGGCACCTGCACTCATGTATCCACACAAACATACACATAAATAAGTTTTTTTTTTTTAATATAAACAGTGTTCTGGGGGCTGGAAAGATGGCTCAGTGGTTAAGAGCATTGCCTGCTCTTCCAGAGGTCCTGAGTTCAATTCCCAGCAACCTGATGGTGGCTCACAACTATCTGTAATGAGGTCTAGTGCCCTCTTCTGGCCTGAAGACATACACACAGACAGAATATTGTATACATAATAAATAAATAAATAAATATTTAAAAAAAATAAAAGATAGTGTTCTGCCTACAGGTATGCCTGCAGGCCAGCAGAGGGCACCAGATCTCATTACAGATGGTTGTGAGTCACCATGTGGTTGCTGGGAATTGAACTCAGGACCTCTGGAAGAGCAGCCAGTACTCTTAACCTTTGAGTCATCTCTCCAGCCTTGACATAAATAATCTTAAAAAACAAAACTGGAGAAACTGGGCCTGTTGACTCACACCTATAATTTTAGCACTCTAGAGGCTGAGATGGGAGGACTGCCTCAAGTTTGAGTCCTAGGCCAGCCAGAGCTACTTAACTGTGTGTGTGAGACCTTGCCTCAGAATGCACACACATAAAGACATCTAACTGTAAAGACACACTGGCTGGAGGAATATCACTCAGTTAAAGGGATGGGAAATTTGAAAATGTAGTCAAAGATTAGTTTGGAAAGTTTCAGTGTCCAAAAAGAAGTACTCGGTGAAATGTGAATGAAAGAAGAGGTAGTGACTAATAGGTTCCTAGAATCCAAGGAAAGCTGAATCTTTAGAATGAGGAAGCTTACCAGAGCAGTGGCAGGGAATCTGACACTGAAGAGAAGTAAGAGTTGGTACAGTAGAAAGGACAGTCAGATCAATACAAAGGAATGAGTTAGAGGGACAGCTGACTAACAAATGCCAGAATTAAGAGAAGTGGTAACTTGCAAATGCTGAGCATGCACAGTCCACACATGACTGTGTTGTGTTACTATATGGGGAGAGACCCCTTCACTGGAAGGTTTAATGATTCCAGAACTGCTTATCTGAATCCATCCTAAAAATTCATGAAAGTAAAAAATTGACATTTTATCAGAAGTCAGTTGGGAAAGCTTAATGTATTTGTTAGATTGGTTAAGTAGACTAAAATGAATAGAATGAGAGATTTAAAAATTAAAACTTGGCTTAGCTTGATCAAACATATTGCCCAACACATACCATATAGTATTTTTGTTTATATCTGGAACAAGTCACTGCCTGACCCTGCACTAAAGGGTTTAAATATTGAAACAAATACAGAAACAACATAAAATTAGCATTTTGCCTATAGACCTAAAACTCTTGCATTTGAAAATTAAAAATGGAAAGACAATAACAAAAATCATTTTAAAATAGTGATTAGAAATTATGGTTTGAAACTGAACGTTTAGGCCTTAATAATGGATGAGAGAAGTACATACAAAAATCAAAGCCATCCAGGCCTGTTGGGGGCAGGAGGGTGATCGAGAATTTTAAGAACAGCCTGGGCAGTATAGTAAGTTCCAGGCCATTGTGGACAAAGTATTAGAACGTATCTGAAAAATCTAAAAACCAAAACCACCCACAGCAAACGAAAATCCCTATGACCTTACAGCCTATAAAAATGATACAGCTTCAAGTGTATGAAAAATATTTTTCCCCTCTCAGGATAATCCTCAGAAAAGGGGGAAGAAACATTGTGTCCTTGAACCTTCCATTTTGAACTTGAAAGTTGTATTTGACTTGAAACTCATTTAATTCAGATGTTTCTAGAATGCTCATAGGGTTTTTCTGTAAGTGACTTAACTATAAGAAATAGGTAAAGAAACCCAGAGCAGAAAAGTTGGGCGTGGTGTTGCACATCTTTATAATCCCAGCATTTAGGAGGCAGAGGCAGGTGGATCTGAGTTCAAGGCCAGCCAGGTCTACAAAGCGAGTTTCAGGACAGCAAACACTACAAAGAGAAACTCTGTCTTCAAAAACCAGGAAAAAAAAAAAAAAAGAAATCCAGAACAGATTTGATTAAAAGAACCCAAATAACCTTAAAATTTAAAACCTCCAGTAATTGTAGTGTAGATTTATTATTACTGTAGTACAAATGGAGTGTGTGTATCCTGATGCATAGTTGTGGCTTGGAAGCAAAATTTGAGTGTTAGAACAGTGCATTTTCTTCCCATTGCTAATACTGAGCCGAGGTATGGCTGTGGATAAAGTTACTTGCTGCACAAATGTGAGGGCCAGAATTTGACTCCCTGGGTCCATGGAAACTCTGGGCAGGTGTGTTGATTCACCTGTAATCCCACAGCATGGGAGCTGGGACCTCAGGATAAGCTGTGCCAACTATACTAGCTGAATGGGTGAATTCTGAGTCCAAGTGAGAGACCCTGCTTCAGTATATAAAACGGAGAGCAACCGAGGAAGGCATCTGACATCAGCCACTGGCCGCAACAAGTACTCACATACATGTGAACATATATACTCATGCATGTACATCACAATACACATTAAAAAGTGGTGTTACTATAATCTTAAACTATTTTGATACAAAAGGAAAGTTTTGATAGACATTCTTGCGTGTAAGAGCAATGGATTGTTCTGTGAACTGTGAAAGAAGCAAATTTCCTGAATCAGTACTTTATAGATCGTATAGATTGTGTTTTAAGCATTTATGAATGCCTCTAAATGTTATAGATGAAGTTTAATATCCAAGTGATAAAAGAAATTTTCATATCCACACTGGTCTGTTAGTGAAATTACTTTAGAGTTACCCTTAAACTTGAATATATTTAGTTTATGATCTTAAGGCATGAATTAGTGGAGAATAAAGTCTGGAAATGACTTTGTATTTTAGAGTGCACAAAACGGTCCAGAGTAAGAGAAAGTACAAGGAAACATTGGAAACTAATAGAAATTAACAAAAGTGAAAGATGAACAATTAAAACTGAGAAGTGATTTTTTTTTCTTTTAATTTCAGTAACCTAAGTGAACTGCCAGGATTAATCCAGGCCGGGGGGTGGGGGTGAGATAGGCAAAACCTCATTGTATTTAAGAATTTAAAGAGAGTCATAATTGTACATCTACCAAAAATTATCATGAGCAAGCACAATGACGATGTTTCTGGAAATACATAATTGACCCAAGCTTGATGGAAAGCAAATTTGGCACTGGTGTAGGGATTTAAGTTTTGGGGCCATTTTATAGTTGAGAACCCTATGGCTGTTGACTGGAAGTGGAGATTTTAGGATTCTGAGCAGTAAAAGCAAGCCAGTTTTGAAACTTATTTTTTATTTTTGTGCATAATGTAACCCAGGCTGGCCTCAAACTTAACTATGTATTCCACTTTGGCCCAGAACACTGCCCTGCTTGGGATTCCAGTGCTGGGTAACAGGTACACACCACCACGGATGGAAGCTGTTAGAATCAAGGCCTGTTTATAATATTTGAACCAGGGGAAGTAAGGATGGAAGTGTTAGAGAAATTTTGGTCTGCAGACTATAAATGTGTGTGTGGGGGGGAGGGGGAACGGGTCGGGAATAGGGTACAAAAAATTGAGGAATGGGTGTTTTATGTTTCCTCCTGAATGTCATTGCCCAGTGACTCATATTTTTAAAAAGCCAAGCACAACCCACAAAGCTCTAAAGGAAGTTTCTGTATATAGACATTTATTGGCATGTGCTTGAATAAAATTCAGGGAAATGACCTTATTTGAATGTGTTAATTCAGCTGTACGTACATATATCTTGGCAGTGGTAGGCTCTACATAAGTTTATCTGCAATGTCTCTGATACAGCATTAGTCAGAGGAAGATTTGGAGCTAGAATCTCTTTTCCTAGAGAACTGATAATGACAGAGATTTCCCAGAAAGGCAAACTCATCGATGTTGATGTTTCTTAGTAAGAATGTTTGCCCTGTGATGGCCCTTTCTTACTTAGAAAACTTACACATCAGCATTTGCTTAGGAGGCCACTGGCTAGCTGGGGACTGGCATGGGTGTTGCTTTGCAGAACTGTGGCTGCCTTCCACACCTTAGGTGAATAAGCTATTGTGTACTTTTCCTCAGGCTTTAGAATTTCAAAAAGAAAACTAATTTTCAAGGAAGACAATTTTGATCAGCTTTTTTTTTTATATATCTGACAACACAGAGGAAAGGTTGGAAAATATTCTTAAGTTTTCCTTAGCACTTGAGTCTGCCTGTCTTCATTTTTACTGTTCCTTTCCACACAAGACTGGGTTTGTGGAAATTGTGTGAGAGTTGAGAGTCAGTCTTTGGTCCTTAGAAATCACATTTTCTTGCTGTTTTAGTAGATGACATACTTTATGCTATGCTATTTGAGACGTGCTGCTTCCTGTACCATATATCAGTCTTTTTAGGGAATGTGAAATGCTAGCTGAAGATGCTGAACATGAGCGTAAGGGAACTAACCTGATTTTAAAGTAGTCTACTTCTCCTTCTTGTAGAAGGTGCCGCTGAAACCTAATGTGGAAGATCATAAAGTGTGCTTTTTTTCTTTAACAGGCGATAATAGTGTATAGAACTGAAGAGTTCCTGAAGAAGGTAACAAACAAGAGAAGGAAAATGCCGAAACCGGTAAGTTTATTTTGTTTCTCTTGATAATGCTTAGCGTTCTGTGGGTTGTGGTGGTAATCATGAGTGAGAGACAGTACTATTAAGGTTAACTAACATTAATGAAATTTGGGACCAAGCTGTCAGGTTCTATCCTTGCTTTCATAGTTAATCTGTATGACTTTTGTTTAATCCATTTTGCTCCTGATTTCCTTTTTATAAAATAGGGCTATAATTTTATTTGCTCAAGGAAGAAGAATCTAGCATGCATTTAGTGCTCAATAAGTGTTGCTCATTGTCAGGAGAAAACAGTGGCAGTGTGAAGGAGCCATTCTTTTTAACTTCTCCTAATTAGAATTTGGACGACAGTCTAGGTTTGTATACCTAGACCAATTTCTTTCTATTGGAAGTTTCTTGACTAAGAGCCACTCCTTTGATTTAGTGAAATAAAACAGGGTATTTTCTTCAGTCTTACTTTTAGCTATCAGTGTGTCTGTGTAAAACTCTAGGTAGCCTTGTGTTCATAATGCTCTTCCTTCAGTGTCCTGAGTACAGGTGGGGTGGAGAGATGGCTCAGTGGTTATTATAGAGAATCAGTGTTTTATTACAACACCCATGTCAGGGGGCTCATAACCTCCTCTAACTCTGGCTGCAAGAGGATTTGATATCTCTGGCTTGTATAGGAACCAAGCAGCATTCATGGGCATAAATCCATGTATCCACATATACATAATTAAAAGAAAACAAATTAAACTTAAAAATATAGGCATGTGACACCATTACTGGCCAATTATATTTTTTAAAAAAAAAATGTTGGTTATTAGAATTTTCTGTTATGAATATCATCGTGGAGTGACTTTTGTGCAAAAGAAAGTTAAGAATAAGGTGTACAAATCAGAAAGAAGCAAAACTGTGTGTGCATGCACACACACCTTCAGAGGCCAGAGGAGACCATTTATGTCTGCTTTGTCTTTCACTGAAGCTGGACCTAACTGGTGGCTAGCAGGTCCCTGAGATCTTAAAGAGGATATCTTCCCCATAGCTCTGGGGTTGCAAGTGGAGGCTAGCCATTCTCATCTTTCTGTACATGGTGTCTGGGGATTTAAGCTCAGATCTTCCTTCCTGCACAGCAGGTACTCGTAAGTGCTGAACAGTCTCCCCACGCCAGAGCAAAAATTTCTATTTGTGACAGGATATTTTTCCAGCCAGTCCTCATAAACCCAAAGCAGTAATAGTTACCACTACTATTAATGAAACTAGATGATATTATATATAAAATTACAATTTTAAAACTTGAAAAATTTCATAGATTGGAATAGAGTTTAAAATGAATGTTAATAGCATCAGAAACAAAACACTTAGGGATAAATATAGAGGTGACACTGAAAACTTAGCATAATAAGACCTAACTATGGAGAAATACACAATGGTAGGAGACTTAATTATAAAGCATTCTTAAGATGTCACTGTCCTCTGAACTTATTTAATTCAGTTCTAATCATTTAAATCCCAGCGTTCTTCTTGGGTAGGGTGGATAAAGATTGCTAAAGAAATTAAAAAAGAAACATGGAAAACTTAGCTGGATTGAAATTACTTCTTTTCAAACTATTAAAAACAAGAAAGGAAACATCTGTTACTCTGCAGTCTAATTTTAGCAGGAATGCAAAACTTTACTACTACTTTGAAAAGTGTAGTTTGTCTATAATTGATATTAATCTGTTACTTATCAATGTCAGAGATCAGCCCTGACATAAATTATTTTTTATATTAGAGTGGAGGTGTGGAAATGAAAATACAACTTATATGACTGTATTGGGAGGGAGTTTTAGTGATTTTTAAGAAATTTTGAATTTATATTTTGAAAATTATTTATGCTTATGTTTTAAGTAGCTTTTATACTAAAATGTAAACTGAGGAGGAAATTTATTAGTATTTTATTTTTCAGGTAGTGGGGAATGACTTAGGTTATGTTTTGTTTATGTTTATTTTGTATGTTTATGTTTATTTTGTTATGTAGAGTGAAAAACACCTTTTCTAGATAACCTTTTAAATTACAATAAAATTATTCAATTTTATATATTAGTTGAAGATTCTGTGTGTTGTCAGCACATTAAATATCTTGGGGCTAGACAGATGGCTCAGTAGTTAAGAATGCATACTGCTCTTGCACCTGAGTGTAGTTAACAGCATCCATGCTGGACAGCTTATAGTTTCCTCAAACTCCAGCTTCAAAGGATCTGACACTCTCTTCTGGACCCTGTTGTCACCTGCACCATACAAATGCATGCACCAGCACACAGAAACACAATGTGCATCTTTCTATTGTAAATACACTTCGATGCTTTCATACAGTGTATTTTTTTTATATTTATTTATTTATTATGTATACAATATTCTGTCTGTGTGTATGCCTGCAGGCCAGTAGAGGGCACCAGACCCCATTACAGATGGTTGTGAGCCACCATGTGGTTGCTGGGAATTGAACTCAGGACCTTTGGAAGAGCAGGCAATGCTCGTAACCTCTGAGCCATCTCTCCAGCCCCATACAGTGTATTTTGATCATATTCACACACCCCACTTCAACTCTCTAATTCTTTCCAGAATCACCCTGACTTCTTTTTCCCTTTCTAATTTCCTGCCCTCTTATTTTTAATTGTTTTTAGTAATTCACCACGTCCAGTTTGTGCCAGGATTACCATTGTATCATAGCCAACCTACCATGGGCCACACTCGTAAACAAAATAGGCCCTTATAGAATCCATTGACTGTCAGTAGCTCATGAGTTAGGGATGGAGGCTCATGAGCCTTACCCTGTTTCATGCAAGACTGTTGACATTAAAAAGGTAATGGTCTTTTCATTGCACCTTTATTATTTGTGTTGTATTTGATTCTCCTTCCCATCTGCCCTTTCCCTGTCTCTCACCCAGTCAGTCCCCTCTTCTTTCTTAGGATATGTATTTCCCATCCTACCCCACCTAAGGTCTTTTTTCTTCTCTCATTATCTGCTTTCTAGTTTGATCTCTCTTGCTCAACACACACACACACACACACACCCCTTGCCTTCCCTCCCTCTCTCCCTGTCCCCCCCTCCCCTGAAAATCTAGGTTTTGCATTTTGTACAAAAATAGTAGATAAGAATAATCAGGACTCAAGAATTCTGTTTTACTGTCTGTCCTTAATTTTCTGTTAGTAATGAGGTAGTCATTTTTTGCAGTCCAGGATATGATTCGTTTAACATTTGAGTTGTTGTAAACTATATAATACCCATTCTAAAGCATGGCTTATTTAAAGTCATTTAAGCTATCTGAAACTTTGTCTTAGCTTTCCCTAGTAACATCTTCTGTGGCTCCAGTATTGAGCCAGGATGCTGACTCTGACGCAGTCCATCTCCTTGTCTGGTCCATGTTTATATCCTCAGCTGTTTAGTTCTCTGCAGTTTTAACCTGTGCATTGGCTTGTGTGACAGTGTCGTCACAGTGTAGTTACAAAAGGACTATAGACGTTGAGAAGACCTTGATTTTTGAATCACGAAATCATTAACTACATTATTTGTTTTCCTTTTAGTGTGTTTCTGAGACTGACTGTTCAGTATGATGATGATTTTCAGTTATATCCATTTTCCTATAGATGTCTTATTTCATTTTTCTTTACGGCTTCATAAAATGCCACTGCATATAGCTACCACATTTTTGGAGAATATCCGTTTACTTGTTAAAGGATACCTAAATGGATTCCATTTCCTGCCTATTGTATAGCAACCGACATGGATGTACAAGTGTCTCTGTGATGTGTCAGTTTGGAATCTTAGTTGTGTATGCCCGAGAGTGGTACAGCTGAACCATACATTCTATTTTTGACTTTTTGAGGAACGTCCATACTGGCTTCCACTGTGGCCTCACCAGCAGTGAAAGAGGTTCCTCTTTCCCCATTTGTTGTCATTTATTTTCTTTAAGATCGCTGTCTTCACTGGACTCTCGGAGCATGTTGTTCATTTTACCATGTGTTATGCAAAGTAATAGGTTTTATGGCATTTTCATACATACATTTTAAAATGAAGAAATAAGGGATAGTGGATGACATTAAAAGAATCAAGAGTTTCATTCAGTTTGAATACCTGCTCTGCTATTTGATACCCATGTGTCCTTGGTTCTGTTTGTCTGTGCTGTGGGTTCCAGGGATCAATCGAGTCATCAAGCCTGGCAGCAGGGTCATCTTAGTAACTCTTAATAGTTACTTTGAATGAGGTATCTGTAAGCGTTTCTTTCTTTCTGTGTTTAAGGTTTCCTGTAGTAAGAATCAAGCTGTGTCACTTTCAGTAAGATGTTAAGGATGGGATGTAGATCAATTGCGGAGAACTTGCCTGTCATGCATGAGGGCTTCATTTTTCAGTACCTCCTGCTCTAGGTTTTTAAATCATACACATATATCCCTATAATCCCATCAATGAGGAGGCTGATGGGGCAGGCATGAACACTGCAAGTAGGCCAAGTTTGAGTTATATATCAAGACTTAATCTCAAAAACCAAGGGTTAGGGATGTTGCTTAGTGGTAGAGATTTGCATAGCATGTACAACACCTTGCCCAGCCACACAAATACTATAACTCCAAAAATTTTCTCATACTTACTACATTGTGAATATATTCTCTTTCCTAATCACTATTTTTTTTTTTGGTTTTACTATAGATCAACGTACGAGTAACTACAATGGATGCTGAGCTAGAATTTGCTATTCAGCCCAATACAACTGGCAAACAGCTTTTTGACCAGGTATCATTTAATCCCACAAAGCATGCAATTCTCTGTGCTTGCCTGTGTGTGGTTTATATGTTTGTATGTCCTTGGTGGTGTGCATATGCTGAGGCCAGATAAGATCAAATTATCCTATGCTTTATTTTATTGAGACAACATCTGTCACTGAATCCGGACTCAGGCTAGTGGGTCAACAAGCCACAGCAGTCCTGGTTCTACCCATCACAGTACTGGTATTACAGGTGTGAATGGCCAAGTCCAGCTTGTTAAGATGGAGACTAGAACCTGAACTCATCAGGCCCTGATACTCCAGCAGCAAGCACTGTTAACCAGTGAGCCATTTCTCTGATCCCAAAAGATGCAACTTTGATAATTATTGTGTGCATGCTATTGCATGCATCTTATAGTTATAGTTCTAATATCCTTGATAAAAAATTCAACAGTGTAGTACTTGGAAGTTTTAATCATATATTCGGGTTGTTTGAATAACTGTAGGGATATTTATATATTTTCATTTCTACTTTCATTGGATAAGTCTTTAGTGTATTTTCAAAAACAAACAAAAGCATAAAAGGGGCCAGCAAGATGTTCAGTAGGCAAAGGTATCTGCTGCCAAGCCCAATAGCCTGAGTTGAACCCCCACAACTCACATAGTGGAAGGAGAGAACTAGTGCCTGAGCATTGTTCTTTGTTGTCAACATGCATGTTATATTTGGGCTCAAGAGAAGGTTTTATCATAAGGGCATGATAAATGAATAGAAAGATACCATTAGTATAATTTAAACTTCATGCAGTATACACCTATAGTGAGACATTATTGCCTCCACTCTCCCCGGCTTTGATAATCACCTTCTCTTTATAAGATTCCACAGTTGACTCGGGTCATGGGTGTTGGTGATTGCATCAATGCATTCACGTTATGAATGTTGGTCTAGGTTATTAATATTGCTACCTGCTGTTCTTTGAGCAATCCTTAAGTTACTGTTCTGTTTCTTAACAACTTTCTTGAGCCCGAATACCACAAACTGAAAACAATACCTTAACTGTAGTGAGTATCTAGGATGGCCAGTGGAAAGGTTCAGGTAAGGCTAGGAGCAGATATGGCCCTCTCATAACTTCATATGTGTGCATGTAACAGAGCCTTACTCTGTTAAAACCAGAATTTGCTGATTTAAATAAGAATCTTAAAACAAATTCCATTATAGGCAGTTCAGAATTAGTGTCACATTTGCAGAACATTGAGTCTTTACACCGAAGTATATATTACCAGCATAATACTTTTATGGTTTTCCAGTGTCTACAGTATGTGTATGGGTTAGGGTCTTAGCTGATATTCACATGTATCCCCACAGTGCAAAAGTATGTCGTTACTATTTTCCTTGTATTTCCCTTCCTACAGTCTTTACTCTGGGGTTGGTCCTTAAAAGGTGGCGGTGTCTTACTTTTTATTGTAATGTTAGATTGAGGCAACTGCTATGTCAGACATAGCAGTCCTTTTGTTTGACTCTTTGTTGAATAACCGTTTCTCCTAGCTTCTCCATGTTGGACCAAAGAATAGAATTCATGTACTTAATGAGTATGCAAGAAGATTTCTTAGGGTAGAAGAAATAATGAAATATTTGTGTTTTTGTTTTTCTTCTTCCAATGCTTTACAGATCAATGCTGTTTACTAGCATATTTGTGAATAGACTTGTACTGCAGTTATGCATCTGCCAGTTTATATTTGCGAGGGAAGATGAGAACTTTCTGATAGCATGCCTCAATAGAAGAGAAGCCACTGGGGAGCTTGGGCCTATTTTAGAATTTCCCAGCTGAACTCTCTGGATGATTGTGTTTGTTGTGACAATTACCTACCTGTGTCCTCTGTAGCACCTTCTAAGTGGTACCTCGTGCCCTTTCTGTTAGTCAGCATTGAATGTTTTCTGTACTTTGAGTCAGTTACTTGTCTTGTTGCTGTGAGAAAATAACTTCACAAATGCAGCTTAAGGAAGGCAGGCTTAGTGTTGCTCAGTTTTTAGATCCGGTCCATCCCAGCGAGGAAAGCAAGGCAGCTGGAACTGGAGGCAGCAGTGAATGATGAATGCCTGGTTTCAGATCTTTTCGTTGTCTTGAGTTCATGTCTCTGGTCTGTGGCATGGTATTGCCCTTGTGCTCACATTCAGGGTGAGTCTTTGCACTGAAGTTAACTAATCCAGATAATCTCTTGTAGGCACAGGCAAAATTTGTCTCCAGGGTGATCATAAACTTTCATATTGACAGTATTACCATCACCTTCTCTCTGTCAGAGTTCAGTTAGCATTTTTCATTGTTTGGTACTGGTCTGTTTTTGCATCATTAGTATGAGTCTTTGTATTTTGTATTCCACCCACTCTGCCGCCAGAAGTTTCTGCTTTTTAAATATTTCTTAGCGATTTTTTTCTTAGTTTTTATTTGTGTCATTTAAGATAAAATTTTCAAGTAAGGGAAAGTAAGCTGAAGAGAGTTTGGTTTGCTGTGTTGAAAACAAGTCTCCTTTAAAAAATTAGCCAAACTGAAGAGATGGCTTAAGATGAGTGGTTAAGAGAGCTTGTTGCTCTAACAGAGGACCCAAATTTGACTCCCAGCACCCACATGGTTGTTTACAACTATCTGTATTTCAGTTCCGGGGGATTGGAGGGTTTCTTCTGACCTCTGTGGCATCAGCACATTTGTGTTATAAAGACACATGCAGGCAAAACACCCACATGTAAAATGAAATTAATAAATCAAAAAAAGTTTAAATTAGCCAAAAGTGCTTACCACTTAAATGAAATTAATTCTTTTATAAGGGTTTTAAATCTCATGTCACCGCCTAACTCTCCTCATTTTATTTTAAATACAGGTAGCTTTTTTTTTGTTTTTAAGAATACTGTAATGTATCCTGGAGTGTATTCTAGTTCTGCCACTTTATTCCAGTCCTTAGAATGCTTATCACAGATCAGTGTTCGTATGCAACACAGCTCTCAGCTCAAAGGGTATATTCGAGCCCTTTAGGACTATGTACACAGGTTGCTGTAACTGGACCCCACTGTGTAAGTGGTTCCGTGGACTGTTATAGTCATGGAACCAGGAAGAAGCATAGGGCATTCACCACACTAGTTGGGGACAGCAGACAGATGGAGACAATGCTGCTGTATGTTTCAGTGTTATGTGATGACATTCTTAGCTTAGGGTTAGTAGAAGCTGGTGATCTGCTACACTGGAGTCTAAAGGTGTGTTGTTTGTTTGTTTTTGTTTTTTAAACTAGATTGTTGAAAGGATGTTAAGTCAAATGAATGACAGTCACAAAGACTAAAGATAACAGGATAATTTATGCACCTGTAACATTTCAGCTCTACGTTAGTCTTGTAGAATTTCCGTGCTTTGTCTTGTGGAATCTTCAGTATAGTGTGGCTTTTTACTGGGAACTTCACACTAGTTATTCTATCAGAAGACATAGATTTCAAGATGAATAAAATAATGTTATCACTCTGTCCTTGACTGCTAAGACAAAGTGTCAAGACACATAAGAAAACACACTATAGCTCAGGGAACAGGTGACTAATTTCATTTCTATGATGGAAGAGATTTTTTTCACAGAAGGAATGTTAGTTGATCTGGGTCTTAAAGAATATTCAGTGGATGATAAAGATGCAGAAGTGTTCTAGGCAGAAGGGAAAGCATGAGCAATGATGTAGAGTGGTCCAAGAATTGTTTCTGTGAAGGTATAATATTGAAGACACCAGACACTGTCACTTAGTGATGTGCTTTGCCCTAGGTACTAGTGGGACACTTGGAGGGAACCAGATAGGAATAGAGGCTTACCCCGTCTGTGCTTCTCTCCTGCAGACTGTTCTTTTGGTTATTGAGGCTGTGATGTGAGCTAAGGAAGTGAAGATGGAAGTGACATAACAGGATTGAGAAAAAAGAACTTGAGTTGCTGTTTTCAGAAATGTTCTTTGAACATGTCAAAAAGTAAAGAGCATGTTAAAGAAAAGCCCTTTTCTGTGGCACTTCTACTTACGTAGTTTTGCCCTTGTGATCTGTAGTGTTGAGGGTCATCTGATCACAGTGTGAATGTTGAACTGAATTTTTCTGTTTTACAGGTTGTAAAAACAGTTGGTTTACGTGAGGTCTGGTTTTTTGGGCTGCAGTATGTAGACAGCAAAGGATATTCTACATGGCTTAAACTGAATAAAAAGGTAAGATGTGTCTACTGATTAATTTGGTGAGTTTATTAATCTGTGCTGAAAAGGCATTAGCAGGGTCTCATTAAGTCCAGGCCTCCTTTTGCAGTTGGCTCTTAATCGATTATTACTTACGCCTTTTAGTTCATTGAAGCACTATCAATATTACTAAACATACTCTATGAGAACTGAGTTTGTGAGAAATAGAACCTTGAGATGGGTGTTAATATGCGTTAAAATCAAACATGCGACTGTAAATGTCTTCAGGATAAGGTCCGGCACACAAAGATGTTTTCGTTCTGATCGTTGACTTCCAGAGCTGCTGGCAGCCTTAGGACCGCACACAAAAGCCTCTTTAGCACATGTGTTTGTTTACAGACTTGTATATAACATTACTATCTACTTGGTCAAAAAAGAATTTGATGTAAATATATTCATTTACAGTGACTTAAAAGTTTTGTTGATTATACTCGAAATTACTATTTTAGGTGACACAGCAAGATGTTAAAAAAGAAAATCCTTTACAGTTCAAGTTTAGAGCTAAATTCTTTCCTGAAGATGTTTCTGAGGAATTGATTCAAGAAATAACACAGAGACTTTTCTTCTTGCAAGTTAAAGAAGCCATCTTAAATGATGAGATATATTGCCCACCAGAAACTGCAGTTCTTTTGGCTTCGTATGCTGTCCAAGCCAAGTATGGAGATTATAATAAAGAGATTCATAAACCAGGATACCTGGCTAATGACAGACTCCTGCCACAGCGGTAAGTAAACCATGTCTTTTAAAAAATATTTTCTAAAGTTGTTTTCCAGAAGCATTTGCGAAATTTTTTAAAAAGATCAGCCTCTGCCTCCCAAGTGTTGGGATTAAAGGAGTGCGCCACTACCACTCAGCTTCTTAAAAAGACTTTTAAGTTGCCAGAAGATTGTAGACTAGGTTTTAAAGATCTTGACTTAGTCACAATACAGATTTATTATTTGTTCTACTGTCTAGTGTTCTTCTGTAGGATGTGAAGCTAAAGGAGGTTACTATTTGGTCTTGATGTCAGGATATGATTTTTTTTGTTTCTACATTGAAACACACATAGGTAGATGCATAATAAACACTGTGAGACTAGTAAGTGGCAAGAGCCGTTTCTTCCACAGAATGAAGTTTTGGTTTGGTGTGCAGTGTAGTCCAACACTCAAAGCAACACCTGCGTGGGAAACAATGACTGCAGAATGACGGTTGGGAACCGAATCTAATCTGGTGTTTGCTCATTATACTACCCTAGATTTGTAATCTCTAAGGATCCATCATAAACAAAAGTGGTTAATTATTCTGTGGTCTAAAGAGAATTGTAGTCAGAGTCTATGGTGTTTCTAGTATATTATAAACAGATTGTTTTTGCTGCTTTGGCATTAAGAGTAAAAAATATGAATACTTTTGGTTTTTAGTTGAGTAAGAACATTGATAGGCTACAGATGAAACACAAAGTCACTAGAGAAGTGGATGCATGGTCATGTGATGTGAAGTATGCCTTCTTTCTTGTGCTGCCATAAGGTTTAGTGTGGAGTACAAATGGTCTTGAGCACATTGTGTAGCCCACATTGACTTAAAAATTCAGAATTGGCCTGCCCCAGTTTCTTAAGTACTGGAATTGTAGGTGTTCACCACCATGCTCAGCTTAATGTATGTTTTCTTTCTTTTTTTTATTAAAAAGGTATTATCTACATAAAATGACAGTGTTAAATTTATTCAAAAAATAGTAGTTATGGAGAAGTAAGGGATAATCAGGACCCAAGAATTCTGTTTTACTGTCTGTCCTTAATTTTCTGTTAGTAATGAGGTAGACATTTTTTGCAGTCCAGGATATGATTCGTTTAACATTTGAGTTGTTGTAAACTATATAATACCCATTTTAAAGCATGGCTTATTTAAAGTCATTTAAGCTATCTGAAACTTTGTCTTAGCTTTCCCTAGTAACATCTGTGGCTCCAGTATTGAGCCAGGATGCTGACTCTGACGCAGTCCATCTCCTTGTCTGGTCCATGTTTATATCCTCAGCTGTTTAGTTCTCTGCAGTTTTAACCTGTACATTGGCTTGTGTGACAGTGTCGTCACAGTGTAGTTACAAAAGGACTATAGACGTTGAGAAGACCTTGATTTTTGAATCACGAAGTCATTAACTACATTATTTGTCTTCCTTTTTAGTGTTTTGGAACAACACAAACTGACAAAAGAGCAGTGGGAGGAGAGAATACAAAACTGGCATGAGGAACACAGAGGAATGCTAAGGTATCTGGGTAACGGTTTTCTGTACATTCCTTTCCAAGTTAAAGCATTTTCATCTCATTCAAAATCTTCTTGGTCTGGCAAGATGCCTAAAGGCACTGCCACATCTGATGACCTGAGCTGAATCTCTATATCCCACATGGTGGGAAAGAACCATCTTCTGAGGGTTTCTTTCTCTCTTTCTCTCTCTCTCTCTAAATGAAAAGTATTATCTACATAAAATAACAATGTTAAATTTAGTCAGAAAAAATAGTAAATAGGGAGAATAAAGGGATAATCGGAACTCAAGAATTCTATTTTCCTGTCTATTCTTTAATTTTCTGTTAGTAATGAGATAGCTGTTTTTTTCAGTCCAAGGTATGATTCTTTGGAAAACACTTGGGCTCTCATAAACTATATAATACTCACTTTAAAGCATAAATTATTTAAAGTAATTTAAGCTATCTCAAACTGTTTTAGCTTCCCTAGTAACATCTACAACTTTCAGTATTCAACCAGAATACACACACACACACACACACACACACACACACACACACACCTACCACCTCCACCCCAGGTTATGCTTTCCATCTTTTGATGTACACAAATAAATAAAAAGCACTGAATGTTAGCTCCATTAGTTTTAGTTTGATGTTTCAATATGTCTACTTCAGTGTATTAAATTCAGCTGTATTTTAATAGGGAAGATTCGATGATGGAATACTTGAAGATTGCGCAAGATCTAGAGATGTATGGTGTCAACTACTTTGAAATCAAGAATAAGAAGGGCACTGAGTTGTGGCTGGGTGTTGATGCTTTGGGTCTGAATATTTATGAGCATGATGACAAGTAAGTTAAGTGGGTGTCTAGTGAGCTGGTCGTTCTGTGATTCAATGGCTTTCAAACATCTCTGCTGGGAAAGGCTGTCTTGGTTGTCCTTATTGCTTTCTTTCCTGACAAGAAGGGTTAGCTAATTCTACATTGAGTTTTAGGTATCATCTCTCTACTTCCTAGTACCTTGTAGTTTCTGAGTTTACTTCTGAGACAATTTATTAAATTAGAAGGATCACCTGTTTTTAAATATGCCGCTTTTGTCTCTTGAGTGAAATGTAGTAACAAGTCAAATCTATTGCCTCAGTAAGTTAAGAGAGTTAAATGTTGCTGTAGTTGACTAGTAGCTTGAAATAAGATAACATACATAAGTCAAGAGCAAATAAATTGATAGGTGTGTTTAAACATTTTCTTATAGGAATTGTTTTGCATACTTTTAAATATCAATTTAATATATTATCCCTATGTTACTCATAGTAACTAGTATAATATTTTGAATTTGATCAAATTAATTTTTTATATATACACACAGTTCATATTATATATGATACATCATGACCTTATAGTATTAATATATGAATATATAATTGATATATGTTAATACTAAATATATATACTATAAATGGATGATATAAATATATAATGCAGTTTGAATGTATCACTCACATAAACCTTTCTCAAGTATAAAAACTAAGGGCTGGAGAGATGACTCAGCAATTGAGAGTATTTGCTACTCTTAAAGAGGACGTGAGCTTGATTCCTAATACCCGTGTCTCAAGGCTCACACCTTTAACTCCAGGTCTAGGGAGAATGGATTCATTTGGTCTCTGAGGGGTATTTGTAGTCATGTGCACAGGTACATACGTAACTAATAATAATAAGATTTTTTTAAAAAAAGAGTAAGTCTGTGTTAGTAATCTTTCCCACCCCAGGCATGATTTTACAGTCCCCTATTAAAGTTGGTCATGCTGATTTATCTCATTGGACATTTAGTGAGCAGAATAACATGCATATTGATTATGAGTGTTTATCTAAATAAGTAGCTATGCTTAGTGCTTATTAGACTTTAAAAGTAGCATAAACAGTAGGAAATCTTGTTCTCTTATCAGGAACCTGACTAAAATGACCTGTGTATGTGTCGGTTACTTTTGTTGTCATAAGAACAAAAATGATTCCAGTCTGATTCCCAGTATGTTTATAGATAGGGTGGCAGAATGGGATGACATTGGTAGGCATAGTGGCTCACATCCTGAAATTCCAGTACTTGGGTGCTGAGGCAGGAGGATTGTACATCCTGGACCTGCTGGGTCTATATAATGACAAAAACAACAGACAGAGGTGGGGAACAGGGGAAGAAATAGAAAGAAAATGGGAATGTTTTTCCTTGTTTTTACATTTTTTTTTCACATATCATAAAGTCTGCAAGCTTTACTGAAATTCAGTACTTTTATATAGTCATGTATCCAAACATTAAAATTATAAAGGAAATCTTCAATACTCAGTAGTTTATGTGTCTGTATTTCACATGGCAATTTTTAATTACTTTCCCTACCAAGCTGATACTTGTAGCTTAAGACTCCACATAATAAAAGGTAAATAGAAGAAATTCAGGCCTGAATAGGCTCAGTCCAGTACTCTTGTTTACCGGATTTTTCTGGGTAATTTTAAGAAAATGACACATGTATGAAAGCATGAATGGTTGTTATTTTATGTGAGTTAATTAAATTTTTCTTTCAAAGTTAGCATCAGCTGTGTAGTGTGAGGAAGATTATATGTTCTGAGCATCAGAAGCTCTTAAGACTGGTCATTCACTTAACCTGTCCCAGAGGGCTGTGTATTTTCCATTGTCAAGTTTCCTGACTTAAATTTAAAGCAATAATCTTTTTTTTTTTAAAGGTTAACACCTAAAATTGGTTTTCCCTGGAGTGAAATCCGAAATATTTCATTTAATGACAAAAAATTTGTTATAAAGCCAATTGACAAAAAGGCACCTGTAAGTATTCTTTGTTCATTAACATTTTCTGCTACTTTCTGTGAAGTAACAGAGAAGGACACTGATCACCCTGTGTTATTTCTGAGGGTATTCTCTCCCATAGATAAATTTTACTCAGTGATGAAATGCTATTAAAAATACAAAGTTTATGGCTGGTCTTTAGTGGCGCACACCTTTAATCCCAGCACTCAGTAGGCAGAGGCAGGCCGATCTCCGTCAGTTTGAAACCAGCATAGTCTACAAAGTTTGAGGGCAGCCTGGTCTACAGAGCTAGTTCCAGGACAGACAGGGTTACACAGAGAAACTTTGTCTCAAAAAAAAAACCAAAAAAAAAAAGTTTCCATTTTTCTTAATATACTATAAGAATTTTAATTGTGATTTAATGATGTAATTGGTAATGGTATTAGAAGGGTATTAACAATCACTCCTAAGAAATAGTTTAAACTGCACTTACTGCTTTTAAGAATGTAATAGAGAGAAGCCTTTGAAAATTAATTCTGTATTCTTGTATTCTGAACTTTGTTTTTAATATGAGACTTTTATAGAAATGTATTCCTAATAATTAGTGTCACATATACTTTAGTATTCTCTTTGTTATCTAAAAGATAAATATCTGAAAAACTTTTCGAGGCTAAAACATAGCCATGGAGGAAGACCAGTTTTGACATTAATGACAAAATACACCCTTCTCTGGAGTGTAAGGGTAACTGCTCGTAGATTGTTTGGAGTTAAAAGATGTGAGGAATGAAGGGATGGAGGTGTATGAAATTTCAGAGTTCCTACACTTGTGTTTATGTGCAGTGACAATATAGTTCTACTCTTGTTGAAATTGAGTTGTTGTGAAAGTCACTATCATTCAGAAAGATTTTAAAATTACGAATATTTTCTATTCAGGATTTTGTTTTCTATGCTCCTCGTCTGAGAATCAATAAGCGGATTTTGGCCTTATGTATGGGAAACCATGAGCTGTACATGCGAAGGAGAAAGCCTGACACTATTGAAGTACAACAGATGAAGGCTCAGGCCCGGGAGGAAAAGCATCAGAAGCAGTTGGAAAGGTATGTATGTGTACCTGTCAATTTTGTTTTGGTGTTTTGGTTTTTCAAGACAGGGCTTCACTATGTAGCTTTGGAGTACCTGTTCATTTTTAATTGCTTCTTGTGACAGGCTATTTAAAAGTTACAGGCTGCTTAGTTTTACTGGTGTACATTAATGTCAGACTTTATGTACAGTTTAGGTGATGGGCCTGAAAGGTATATTTCTAAAATAATTTAATTTTACATGCCAGTATAGAGACTTTATAATTTAGTATATTTATGTCCTCAAAATAGAACTAGGTCAAAATGAGTACTTAGAAACCCAGACTCTTGCTGGGTAGTGGTGGTATATGTTTTTAATCCCAGCACTTGAGAGACAGAGTCAGGCAGATCTCTGTGAGTTCAAGGCTAGCCTGGTCAACAAGAGCTAGTTTCAGGAGAGGCACCAAAGCTATACAGAGAAATCCTGTCTCAATAAACCAAAAATCAACCCCTCCCCCCAAAAAAAACTCAGAAAAGAAACCCAACTCTAAATGAAAATACATACATAAGAAATATGAGTAATCCCAAGAGGCTTCCTGGGGGAAATGTGATTGATTTGGTTAGGGTGTGGGAGACATATTCAGAGAAGAGGAAGCTAGCTTAAGCAAATGTGTAGAGATAAGAATATGCAGGGTTTGTTTAGGGATCAATCAGTAAATGGACCAGGTTAATCCTTTTGAGCAGTGTGCAAAGAATATCTCGCAGTTTTCTGTGGGAGATAAGAAAGACCTAGCAACTCCAGGTGTTAGGTGTGATGTGCAGAGCTGTGTGTGGTGTGGTTGGGCATAGCCTGTGGAGATGTGAGCTGTGTATCTCAGCAGTGCTGCAGCATCAGCCGCAGAGGGTTTTCACATAACCGGGTTAACTGTCTCCTGTAGATGCATTCCACTTTTCAGCAGTAAATAGTGTTTGTTCCCAGCTTGCTTATAGCCATATTCCTTTCAATCTTTTTCTGTGTCCCTATCTCCTTTACCTCCATCCCTGTAGAAGAATGAGTGAGACACTGATAAGGAAAAGCTAAATGAAGCCAATACCCTTTCCTGGAAGGGACATTGGTACCCGAGTGCAACCCAAAAGGTTTTGAGCATTTGGATAGGTTATAGCCTGCAGTCTAGAGACTTGTTTTGTACTGAATCCTCAAGAATTAAGGATCTTGTGACCTGGCATGAGAAGGACCTTGTGGACCTGTGGTAGTGCTGTACATGACTGTACAGAGGCAATGAGCCATGGAGTAGCCTAACAAACACCCTGGGTTGAGACAGCATGCTGTAGAAAAGTAGTTATTTGAAAACTGGTACTTCTGCTTCTATGAACAGCCTGAGGGGACATCAGGCTTTTTAAGTTAAGGCACATCTTAGTCCCTTCTTTTGTCCAAAAAGCCTGGGATATGCCCATTTGCCCATAAACCTCTTCATCTAGGTTTTCTAGAGGTGTTGAAATTCCCAACTTCTGAAGTCTTTGCCTGAATATACTTTATAAATTGAAATGAGTAGGCAAATGCTGCAGAGACCAAGGGCAGATAGGTGCTGACTGTTTGCTCTGAGTGTTGAGGAAGTACGTCATAGAGAGCTCAGAACCAGAGAGGAGCAGCCCTCACCTTTTCATTTATTTATGTGTTTATTTGTTTATATATGTTCTCTTGTTCTTTAAAAATAACTTTTCTAGGATTTGATTTTTTTTATATGTATTGACTGTTTTGTCTGCATGTATGTGTGTACACACGACATATGTGTCTTGTGACTGCAGAGGTCATAAGAGGATGTCATGTGCCCTGGAATAGGAATTACAGATGGTTGTGGCCTACCTCGTGGATGCTGGGAATTGAACTTGAGTCCTCTGCAAGAACTAGTGCTCTTAACTACTGGGCCAACTCTCTAGCCCCAGGTCTTTGATTCTTAAAGTTCATTAATCAGCAGGAGGCTTAGTGACCCTTCAACCTCCTGTGTCAGTCAGTGTTGGTGTTTTAGGAAGTCACCACCAGGAACTCGTGCTGACTTGTGCATTTCTCCTTCAGAGTTCCACACCTTCTTTCTTGGGAACAGACTGATGCCCAAGATCTGCAGGAATTTCCAAATTCAGGCCTTTGTAGTAAGAAAAATTGCTTTGGTAGAATAGTTTGTGATGTGTCCAGAATTGACACTAGGTGGCAGTCGGTGCTGTTTTGTGAATATTAAGGAAATGTTAGAGAAGGAGTCATTTCAGTGAAAAAATACTGATTGGAGGTAGTGATTTGAATATTAAACACACAAAGTAACACAGTTTAATGTCTTCATCATTTTGGTTTTGGTCACTAACATGAAGTTTGTTCAAGGTAAGCTCTTGCTAGCTGTTTGACAGGTTTTGACTATATTATTTCCCTAACTCCTTTTCCCCCGGTGATTTTTATCAGGACTGATAGACAATAGCTAATTCTTCATGGCATTGTTTCCCCTTTTACCTGCATTAAATATCTTCTGCTATCCTAATGGGATTGTGAGAGGTGGTAACTTGTCATCTTATATTCAGGCATAAATGCTAGTACCAGAAGTTAAGTGTGTATTGTTTGGTTTGGTTTTTTATTTTTGTTGTTGTATTTTTTGACTTTTTGAAGCGGGGCTTCTCTGTGTAGTTTTGGAGCCTGTCCTGGAACTTGGGCTGTTGATCAGGCTGGTTTGGAAATCACAGAGATGCACTTGTCTCTGCCTCCTGAGTGCTGGGAGTAACGGCGTGCATCACCACCACCTGGCATATTGAGTTATTTTTAATGATTGAAAATCATTGATCTTCCAAGCTATTTTGCAGTTAAAGGTACTCATGTGTTCTCTTTAAACCTTTAGTTTTTTTCCCCGGTTAGAGGGCTCCTGCTAACTCAAAAAAAAAAAAAAAAAAAAAGAATTTCCTTGGGTTATGACAATGGTGCAGCAAGCTATATTGAGGTGTTACACATACTCTGTTCTGTATGCAGATGCTAGATCTACTGAGTTTTTTCCCACCTAAATTGGCTTTGAGACCATACTTTAAACACTTGTTTTAAGTTTTAAAATAGTGTGTGTTAATGTGTGTAATGTGTATATAAACACAGATGCATAAATGAGTGTGGAGGCCAGAAGTTGAGATCAACTGGGAAAGATACTTGATAGACAAGGTCTGTCAGCAAGTTCCAGGGTCCCACCTGCTTCTACTCTACCATCTCCAGCTCTGGGCTGTAACACATGCTGCCATGTATGGCTAGTATGTAGTATAGCATAGAGTTACATACTGAACTGTATGTGGTGAATATATTAAAAAAAATTTAAATGGTTATGTTGTGCTTTTTTAATTTGGGATTAATGCAAATAACTTGTTAATTTGTTTCTACCTGTTTATTTGTAACGTGTAACTTATAATTTCTTTTAAGGGCACAATTAGAGAATGAAAAGAAGAAAAGAGAAATAGCAGAAAAGGAAAAGGAAAGAATAGAGCGTGAGAAGGAAGAGCTAATGGAGCGTCTAAGGCAAATTGAAGAGCAGACAATGAAAGCCCAAAAAGGTAAAAGTTTTTTTGAACAGTAAATTCAAGATTATTACTGTGATGTTAGATAGCAGTGTTTCTATGCCAGTATGGACTGTTATTTGTGTTGTATAGGATAGTTGTGTTTAATTCACAGATGTGTTTAGTGGAATCACATTGAAGTCTGTTTAAGACACAGTTCTGTTTTACTCTTGTTCCCTTTCATTTTCAACCATACAAATATGTGTGTTCTTCTGTATAATTCATGTATAAATTTATGGTTTTTCCTTTTCAGGATTCTGTAACTAAAAACATACATTTACTATCTTCTGACATCTAGCCAATACATTAGTGGAGTGCTTTGAGACATTTTAGTACTAAAAGCATTTTTCAGTTCTTCCTGTGGAAACTAAGCCCCCAAGAAATATTTGATTTCAGTGTGTTAGAGAGCACTGAAGGTGAGGTGTGCTCGTACAACACTTGATTAGTTAGTAGTTTGTTAGAGAACACTAAAGGTGGGGTGTGCTCAGTACAACCCTTGACTAATATATATAAGGCTTAATATTCAGCTCCAAAAACATGCCCAGACATCATTCTGCTTGTTTGCTTTTGACTTGTTTAGATGAACTTTCTATTCAGCTTGTAGTCAAAGTATTGATGTATATAGAAAGAACAGTGTTTACATTGAATACATGGGATTCACTACTTTAACAAAGCATTAGTGGAAAGAACAGGAAGAAAAAGTTAAGTAAATTAAATTGTTCTTCCCAAGCCAAAAAAATTCAGCAGGCATTGTGAACTTACTCTATTTATACCACCTTTCCCTAACAGTTAGTAGAACTAGCCATTTATTTTTATTAGTAATGACAGTGTTATTTAAGGCTTAATTTGATTCTGTATATGATGTTCCCATGTGGCGATGTTTTTTAGAAACAGTCAGAACCATTTTCTAGTAGGTGTCCAGAGGAGGTAGTCACATAAATTGACTATTCATAATTTCTGGAGTATTGGGAATAATTTTTAGTGCAGACTGTTGTGACTTTTGAGTGGGGAGGGGCATGTTTTTACTCACATTTATAATGCAGGCTGGCCTCAAACTTTTGATCCTTCTGGCTCCCTCCTCACAAATGCTAGGACAACTGGCAAGTGCCATCCTCCCAGATGTGTGCTTTGAGCTGGAGATACTGCTCATTTGGTGAAACACTAACTATGCAAGCATAAGGATCTGGGTTTGATCCCCCGAACTGATATAAAAGGTTGGGCATGCTGGTACCAGCTTGTAATCCAGCATTGGGGAAGCTGAGATAAGCAGATGCCTGGGATTGACTGGCTAGGCAGCCTTACCAAATCAGTGACACCCGGGTCCTGAGAGGCTGTGTCTCAAGAGAGGAACAGCTACACATGGCTACACATGATAATGGCTACACATGGCCTTCATGTGTAGCCATTATCATAAACTAAACAAACACAGATTATAAATTGAGTTTTATTCTAACTTAATAGCTAAACCTCACCTCTCATACCTAGAATTAATTTACTTAATTAATTTAAGGTTGTAAAGCATCTGTTTATAGACCACAAAGTGGAGCCAGAATGTGATTCTTGAATTCCAAATTGGATGCTGTGCATTCTGCTTTAGGTACATTTTTATCTTCTAGCAGACATACAACCTATGTGGCAGTAAAACTGTGTAGACAAAAGAAATAATAAGTATAAAACGTTGATAGAATGACATGGCATATGTGTGCTAAGAACCACACGACTAGTATAAGTTGAACCTTCACGAATACTGGAAAGAAACTTGGATTAAGGGGCATAGGGCACATTGATGGGATACTTGATTACATGTGTGAGGCTGTCAGTTTTCTTAGTAGCACACACATGACCTTCTGGATTATACCGAAGGAGTGATTAAACTAAAGAATGAAAATTTATTAGTAAAGGAATAATGATTCATAGCATTTTTAAATTTATATAACTCTTTGAGAGAACAACTACTAAATCTTTTAATCTCATTCATTTAGGATGTATAATAAAAGTATTAATGATTTACAAAACTACTCAAAGAAGCACTGAAGAGTATAAGGGAGATAGACCAGAAAGAATATAGAGCACCTTTGTCAAGACAGTTGCAAATCAGTCATCTTAAGACAGAGGACATCCACTGTATTTGTTGTTTTTAAATAAAGCTTTCCCAGGCGATCCTAAAACTTACATGATTGTCTTGTAATTTGTGCTGAATTCTCAATTTAAGTCAATAAATGACCATATGTCATGGTGCTTAGATTAATTATTATATTTTATTGTCATTTTGTTTTAGTTTTTATTTATGCTATAATTCCAAATAACTCATTAAATAGAACAAAAAGAGTAGAACAGTTGTCCTAGAACATTTTGAAGATATATTGGGATACATGTCACCAGACCTGCCATTTACTTGCTGTTCTAACAGATAATCAAAGTGAGTTTGGCTTTTGTAAGACAAGCTGTGGAAAGGAGTTGTGGCCTAGTGATTTCGTTAATTCTGAGCACTTAATAAGCACTGGGGGCATAGACCTATATAGATGCGGTCCCTGTTTTGATGCATTATACACTTTATTCATGAAAGATGGAGCAATAACCTAAAGAAAATGACTTTATGTAGTTTGAAGTGCTGTGGAAGGGCCGTCAGCATGATGGGGTGATGAGCATTAGTGCCGCTCGTATGGGGCAAAGCTGTAATTTTGTCATCAAGTTAGAATATGACCATGAGTGAGTCATTTTAACATCTTTATTTTCTTAGGATTTCTGAGATTGTTTTAGTTTTATTTTCTGAAAACTTAACTACTAACTTAGTGAAGTACTGATAGAGAGGTCTGTATACACCTATTAGGAGTAACCTCAGTCACTTGTTACAGGGAGGCACAGTCTAAGTTCATGTGAACTGTGCACTCTAATTCTGGCAAGCTAGAAGAATAAGACAGTGAGCATTATGGCATGCTTTTGTTACTTCCTAATCATTTGTCATTCCCTATGTAAATTTTGTCATTGATTTTTTTTTTTTTAAATTTAGTCTTGTCTTTTTCACCCTGATAGTTTTGTTGCGATACAATTAATATGCCATAAAATTACCCATTTAAACTACACAGTTTAATGATGTTTAATATGTTCAGAGTGGTATACTGCTATTACCTCAATCAATTTTGAAAATGTGTCGTCTCTAAGAAGAAATCCCATACCCATTAAGCAGTCAACTAATTTCTTCCAGTAATCCCCCCTCCCAGCCATGGGCAGCTGTTAATCCATTCACCTCATCTACAGATTTACGTTTTCTGTGCACATAACCGGTTTCTTCCTTAGCCTGGTATTTTCAAAGTACATCTGTGTTGAAACATATAGTAGCATTTTATTCTTTTTAAATTGCTGAATATTTTATTTTTTTTATTCATCGTTCTTGGGTACTTTCATTATTTCTACTATTTTACTGTGTTGTGTATAACTTATGAATGTACATGTACAGATTTATTTTAATATTTTCATGTTTGTATGTTTTTGTATTACTGGCCATATTGACTTACAGTTTTTGAGGAACTGCCTAATTGGTTTGAAAATGACTTTATGTTTCTATAGATATGTGTGATTTCTTTGCATCCTCTCTAGGATATGTCAATGCTTATCTTTGGGTTATCATCTTCCTAAATGATTTTCAGTACTGTTAGGATTTTTGACTGAGATACCTCAGTGCCTAATGAAGCTGAGCATCTTTCCAAGTGCCGTTTATTTATTGGCTGGAGGGGCGGATGTTCAAATTTTCTCCCCACTGGCCAGTGGGATTTCTTGTTGTTCTGAGGGTTCTTATGTGTCTGGGATACAGATCTTTATCAAATACATGATTTGCAAATATTTTCTCCCAAGGACATGGTAGGCTGTCATTTGACAAGAGTGTGATTTCTCTCCCTGCTTCTGTAGTCTCTACGTGCTTTCTCTGTGTTTTCTAGTGTCTCATGTATGTGTATATTTGGGGAATTGGCACATATATTGAAGGAAAATAGCGTGCATATTTGAGACTTTTCTCCTTTTTGCCCCTTTTCAGGCACTTGTCCTCCTAGTACTTTCTCAATCTCAAGCTCCACGTCTTCATCTTGGTCTTCCTGACCCAGTAGAATGCCAGTCCCAGGCTACTGTGTGGTTTTGCTGTTGTCCACTTTTGGGGAACCAGATACCTTTTGTTTACAGAGTAAATACACAGCACCTGTGAAAATGTGTTCCCATTTGTCACACAAAAGGCATGTGTGACATATGTTCTGGAATGTTTTAAAGGGAGAGATCTTGTTTATTCACTAGGCTGACATTGAACTCCTAGAGTAAACTGATCATTCTGCCTCAGCCTACCAAAATACCCAGGACTGTAGCTGCACACCACTGTATCTGGGGGCGGGGGCGAGTTTATGCCTTATTGTGTTCAATTACTGTATCCTACTGTATCCTAATAAATAATGTTATTCATCGAAATTTTCACTTTTTTTGCAATGACATATAATAGCTCTCTCATTGCTTAGGTATACTGTGTTCTTTTTAAAGCCAGTAATGCACAATCCCAGTATTCTGTGATTTCTAAAAATTGTGATTATTGAACTGTCACTTAATTTTTTTTCTTCTAAGATTATGTGTTTCACCCAGGAAATCAGTAGTATAATTGATAAACCATTATCTTAGAAAAGAGAAAGAAAAAACTTAAAAGTTTTGGGCTGTATTATCTATTAAAGCATGTAGGGTTTTTTGTTGTTGTTGTTGCTGCAAGTTTAGTAGCTTCTAAACTTGGTTCTTGGGGTGAGAAATTATTTGACTTGCAAAATCGTGTAATGCTGGGGTTCAAATATGAGTGAAAAAGAGAAGCTTCCTGGAATTTTATTGGCTTGAATTTACATTAACTTTGCCTGTCGCCTCCATATTAAACATTTTGACCGAGCACTCCACTCAGCCATGAGTAGGGACATAAGCTGTTTGACTTTGTGGTTTTCCAACCTTTGCCTTGAAAGGGTTAATATTTTAAATAATCCAACCATATCCTTTGCCTTCATGCACATCACAAGATGGAAAGTTCTAGATTTTTATGAACCAGCTAGGGGGGCAATTTGAATTGATCACTCTTATCAAATCCTTCACCAGACTTGACTCACATATGGTAATTCAGTAAATATTTTAGGCATTTACACAGTCTCAATTACTGGTTTGGCTGTCGTGTGAAAGCAGTCATATGTAACTTCTGAGTGAGGGTGTGGGTGATGATTCAACAAATGTTAGTAAAATAACATTGGGTTTGGTCCGTGGGCCATTGTTTATTAACCCTTGTTTCAGTGTGTTGGTGAAAGCTGAGCATTTCTACTTCAGGTCATAAATACTTCTTTGTAGGTGAGATTAGAATAATGTTCATTTTAACATTTTAAAAGATAGATTTTTGTATAATTTTTTTAAAAATTCTTTAAAAAATTTTTATTACAAAAAGCTATTGAATGTACCTGTTTTGTTTTTTAATTGATACTACAGAAAACTCATAGAAAATAATATATTCTATTTATGTCAGAATTTAATTTGTAATCCAAACATCTAAGAATTTTGTTATGAGATAATTTTTTTTTACTATGATAGACATAAAAATTTAGCAGACTACAAAGCTACCAATTTTGAAGTATATAGTTTAAGGATATGAAGAATCACCTATAAGATGTTTGAGCCTAAGGCGTCTTGTGTGCTAGACAAGACTTGTATTACTGAACCCTAGCCCCATAGGTCTTAAATGCATTAATTTATAAATCTCTAAATATGGTGCCTACTGTGATACAAAATGAAACAAAAGAAAACTCAGTCTTTACTTTTGGACAGTACTGGGTATTGCACCTTGATCCTTGTACATCTGAGCAGACTACTCCTACTGAGTTATTCTACCCAGGCCCCAGCCTTTCTAATTCCCCCAGATCAAAACTTAAAACTAGAGATTTTTTTTTTTAAAAAAAAAATTATGTGCTTCTACACAACTTAAACTGTAAGGGGCTTTCAAAGTCTTTACCGTTTTGAATTACATAATTTGTAAAATTTTTACTCTTTACAAGGTTAAATTTGAAGTGTTTGTGTATTTAGACACATGCTGAGTTTTAGAAACTGTAGGTTTTTGGCATCTTGCTGTAATGAGGATGATTGAAATTAACCCATGTCTGTGGGCCGGGTGGAACCTTTGACAGAACTAGAAGAACAGACACGGAAAGCTCTAGAACTGGAGCAGGAGCGCCAGAGAGCGAAAGAAGAGGCGGAGCGGCTAGACAAGGAGCGCCGGGCTGCGGAGGAGGCCAAATCTGCCATAGCCAAGCAAGCTGCAGACCAGATGAAGAACCAGGAGCAGCTGGTAAGGCCCTGTTTGTTCTTGGAAAAAGCTAAACTTCACCAAATACATGGCATGATGGCAAACCCAAGTATATGACACTTTCTAAAAAGCTTGCCGAAGGGGCAGTAACAAGTGACAGAAACTGAACATTTTTTCTGCCTGAAAAAATTAAGAAACCAAACCAGAACCCAAACAGCATGAAGGGGTTCATGTGTTTTGAATGATATATTTCTTTTTTTAAGATTGAAAATAGGGGCTGGAGAGATGGCTCAGTGGTTAAGAGCATTGCCTGCTCTTCCAAAGGTCCTGAGTTCAATTCCCAGCAACCACATGGTGGCTCACAACCATCTGTAATGAGGTCTGGTGCCCTGGCCTGCAGGCATACACACAGACAGAATATTGTATACATAATGAATAAATAAATAAATAAGGAAAAAAGATTGAAAATACATTTTCTTTCATAAAGTACATTCTGTGTACAGTTTCTTTTTAAGTAGAGCTAGTGGCCAACAAAAGGATTTTCATTCAATTAGACCACTGGTTCTCAACCTTTTTAATGCTGTGACTTTTAATACAGTTCCTCATGTTGTGGTGACCTATAACCATAAAATTATTTTTGTTTCTATAAGTGTAATTTTGCTAATGTTAGGAATCCTAATGTAAATACTGTTTTCTGATGGTCTTAGGCGACCCCTGTGAAAAGGTTGTTGACTTTCCCAAAATGGGTTGTAACTTACAGGCTGACAACCACTGACTTTGACTTTGAACTGGCTCTCCAGTAAGACATGTGGCGTCTTGCACTTTGATAAATCGAGATACCATGTTTGGTTTCTGGATGGCACCTATAAGGCATGACCAGTTGGAGTTTTGTTTATTCAATGTACTTCCAAATAATGAGAATATGCATGGCACAGAGAAGATTCCAAGTCTTATTAATTCAGGTGTTTATTTACTGGATGTCTTTGAATCTTGTTTGTTTGTAGACAGAGTCTTGCTACTAACCCAGGCAGGCTTTGAACTCTTGATCTTGATTACCTGTTTCAACTTCCTAAGTACCAAGAGAGCGTGGATTCCAGGTGTCACACCTGTCCTTTGCTTTTTGAGCTTCTCATTTTCTCTCTTTGAAAATAGGACTGGTGAGGAATCGGATGAGGCTGTTGACAAAGTACCTTTGCAATAATAGAACATTATATGATTTTTGTTTAATGATAAACTTTTAAAACAAGCTCTTACATTTTAAGCTCTTACTAATGAAACGTAAGTAACTGCTCATCTATAGAAAAAGGTATTTTAACTTTGCCTTGTATTATCTATCTCATTATATCAAGTCCCTATTCAAAGAAGTTAGTTAAAATCTTCAGGAAATCTGCCTTTTTTAAAAAATGGAAGACCAAGAGAAACTTAAAAGAACCCAAGCATATACCTGAAAATTTTTTTGACTGAATTATAGCAGAATACTAAAAAATATTATATCCAGTATTTATAATATATAAATATTTTAATTTTAGGCAGCAGAACTTGCTGAATTCACCGCCAAGATTGCACTTCTAGAGGAAGCTAAGAAGAAAAAGGAAGAGGAAGCTACTGAATGGCAACACAAAGTAATCACTGTTTTGTTGTGTGCTAGCGTCTACTGAATAGCTGCTCTGTTAGTGAGCCAGCAGTGTGCTTGCTTGCTCTGTACAGGTGATGTGAGGTTGGTACATGCTCAGTCCCTGGGGGATGCATAAGAGGTGATCACCTAGGGGAACCAGACAGATATCTGGGAAAGTCCTAAGCATTTAAGTTGGGTCTTGAGAAATAAATTAGTTTAAGATTGGAAATGATTAAGGGATGAAGCACGTTGTTGACTGTTCCATATAGAAAAGAATTGAGTTAGTAGAGGAAGTAGGAATAGCCAGTAATCAGGTGTGACTTCAAAAAAGTTAGAAGATTTAGGTGATAGTTGGATAGTAGAAAATTGAGTTATAGGGCATCAAATGTTTACTGATGCACATTGGTGGGATGTGCGGTACCAGACTTAGAAGATTTCAGAGCACAGTTAACACAGTGAGTAAGATTTTATAAAGACAAACGCACAGAACTAAAAAGAACCCCAGACCTAATCAATGTAGAGTATGGATTGGGATATTGGATGCTCATAAGTGCCCGAAGGGTACCGTAGTGAGATGAAAAGGGTTGAAGAGTTAGACACTGTAGTAGACTGAAGCATAGCCGCAATCACAGGAGGTGAGCTTGAGTTAGGCTGTAGTTTACTAATAAGATTTTTTGTTTTCTTTTTGGGTTTTTTCTCTTTTTTCTTTTTTCAAGCATGCTTTAATTATACATGGGTACTATGACTTTCCCATGCGTGCATATACTATAGTCTGCCATATTTACCCAATCACTCCCTCTAGTTCTGCTGCTGCTCCCACTGAGTACTTGTCCTTCCCACGCAGCTTCTCCCTTCTACTTTCCTGGGTTGCTTCTCTCTTTAATGGACCAGTGAGTCTGTTAGGGTTACAGAGCTTGGGTAAAATCTTATTTACAGAAACATGATGAGCTTGCCACAGTGGCTGCACCACTGAGGAAAATGTCTCTCTCAGCAACCATTAACTCCCTGCTCCTTAGGGAGAGGTAGTCTCCTACGCTTCTTCCCCAGCAGCCTTTTAACTGCTTGTAAATCTTAAGGGCGCAGTGGATGCTGCTAAGGTTTCTAATGAGAATTCACAGGTGCAGAAGTCAAGCTTGGAATTGGAGGGATGGCACAGAGAAGACAATGAGTCGTATTCAATAACATTATCTTATAGTGTTTTTATCCAAGGAAGGAACATGAAATACGCAGTAGTTTTTCTACAGTAAAATACTCTTACTGTATGGCATTTTTTTTCCTGTTCTTAAATTTCTTTGAGACAGTTCAATTTTTAATTGGAACATTTTTGACATATTATATGTGTGTATATGCAAAAATATAAAATACATGTAGAAAGAGGGTAAAATGGTTAGTCTCCCTATTATACTGCTTTTGTCTTGAGAATTTTATAGACCCTATTTAGAGATGGATTTATGAACTTTAGAGTCCTACAAGCTTTTAAAATATATTACAGCTACAATTCCTATGAGCAATTCAAAAATGCATAGAAATCAACAAAAATTAATTAAAAAATAAAATTACAGTTCTACAAGCTAGGACATTATTTTAGAACAGTGTATATTCTCTCCTATTTCTTATATTTTTGTATACAGTTATATATGTTTGAAATGAAATCTTTGTTTATATATTAATTCCATTTTATTGAATTTTCATCTCATGTAATGTTAGATTATATTCAGATCCTAAAATTTAAGCCCTTCAAGCTTAAGGAATTGTTATGGGAGACCTCCATAGTTTAGGGCCCTTTGAGAGTAAAATAGAGTGCTCCTAGGACATAAGACAAGACTGGAAAGTGAGACCTTTCTAAGCAACCCAGGAAGTACTGTTCCCAAATCATCAGTAATTTGGATATTTCATGTTGTATCATATGAGATGACTTATCTGGTTAACCCGTTGTTAGGTGAGTGATTTTAATTGACCACTGTATTAGAGTAATGACAGTCTGGTTATTCCGTTGACTCTTATTTTTCTGCTTATGCCTCATATATAATCTATTAAATGTGACATTTCTCAGCATTGTACAGATTTTTTTTCCCACCAAGCATTTGCAAAACAGTTACAGCAACAAAGAATAAACCAATATTAATATTTTAAGCAGGAAATATTTAAAAAAATGTTTATGCCTCTTATCTGCTAGAATCCTATAATATGAAGCTTTATTAAAAGATTTATCATCATTACCTTGAAATATATTTTTTGTTACAAAGACAGAATAAATTATTTTTATTCTCAGTTTAACAAACTTATTTTCAATGTTCAGGCTTTTGCGGCTCAAGAAGACTTGGAAAAGACCAAAGAAGAGTTAAAAACCGTGATGTCTGCGCCCCCGCCCCCGCCCCCTCCGCCAGTTGTTCCTCCCACGGAGAATGAGCACGACGAGCAGGACGAGAACAGCGCCGAGGCCAGCGCCGAGCTGTCCAGCGAGGGGGTGCTGAACCACAGGAGCGAGGAGGAGCGGGTAACGGAGACACAGAAGAACGAACGTGTGAAGAAGCAGCTCCAGGTACCCGTGCAGCTCTGCGTGCACTCAGAACCCTTGCAGTCCGGGCCAGCCTTGTGATTGGCTCTTATTTGTCCTGAAGTGACAAGTCTGTCCTTGCTTTCATTACACAACCTTTAGCAAGGGCTTTGCTAACTATGAGTTTTCAACCATAGATGAGTTCATTTTCAAAGGGAGAAAGTATCTAGTACCTTGTAAAATTAAGTTAGTCTTTAAAACAGTGATGCAACACTTGATACTTCATCTTTCATCTAAAATATTTTATCATCAGAATTATTCATATTTTAAAACTGTAAAAGATCAGTTTATTAAGTGTACATTATTAGGTCAGAATAGAAAATTTCAGCGTAATTCAACAGTTTAAAAAGTAACTTAATTTTTTTTGTTGGTGAAATCTTAATTTAAAAAAGTGATAATTATAATAACTGTATTAAGATTTCTAGAGAAAATGTCCATTTTTATCTTACACTAACTTTTCTTTAAAATGACTACCTTGAACTTGATCAGTTATTTCATGTGTTGGATTAAGAAAGTTGAAGCAGTTCAGAATATATAAAATATTATGTCTGATGACTAAAGAAAAGAAAGGCCATGGGCATTCCTCCCCATCACAATAACTGACAAAAGAAACTTGTGGGACTGGATGTGACTCCGCTGTTAAGAGAACAGTCTGGCTGGGCCTTCAGAGGACCCGGGTTTAATTTCTAGCACCCTTATGACAATTCATAATTGTAAGTTCCCACAGACAGGCATGTAGGCAAAACACCCCCCCAAAAAAAATAAAAAACCACTCCACCGTGGAAAGATTATTAATATATTAAGGAGTTTAAAGAATCAGATTTAGTGTGCATGTATTTTTGCATCTTTAAACTTTTTTCATAATTTGTTAAACACTATGTAATAGTAGTGCTTTTTTTTTTTTAATGCAGGCATTAAGTTCAGAATTAGCCCAAGCCAGAGATGAAACCAAAAAAACACAGAATGATGTTCTTCATGCCGAGAATGTCAAAGCAGGCCGCGATAAGTACAAGACTCTGCGACAGATTCGACAAGGCAATACCAAGCAGCGTATCGATGAGTTTGAAGCAATGTGAGAGCTGTTCTTGTGATACATGTCCTTCCTAAGCTGAACCACCACCAGAGAAAAGCAGGCCTTGCAGATGGATGGAATGCATCCCACCTTGCCAAAGCACTCACAGCAGTTGACTGTGCTCACTAGCAGAAGTCTGAAGGGCGCTCTTCAACATTAAGGCAGTGTGATGTCATGTTTGGTCATTTTTCTTTTGGCCAGGGAATTGATAATGCTATCCTGTCATCTCTTTTGTACATTTTTCATTTTTTTTGTTTGATTTTTTTCAGTTGAATATTAATACTAATGACCATGTCTGATAAATGTGTCTGTGTGCTTTGAGCACGGTGTACATCTTAGGATGATGGTGAACATTTCAGTGCATGCTTAGTTAATGAATTCAATTTTCTTTGCCCTTTCCATGTTTGACCTACATACATTTCCATGTTCACTCATGTGTTTGCAATGTGGCCTTCTCATGCCCTGTCATGGCAGAGTCATAATGTTGGTGTCTTACACATCACTTATTGGAGGTGTTGAAGATGAGGTATCGGGGTAAAGAGACACAGGTAGATGAGACAGCAGCCATTATGGAGGAGACTGCATTGCGGGACGATTAGAACATTGAACAGTACAGGGTACAGAGGTGGTTAACTATTACAGAAACCCCTTAATTACACTATTGGGTGGTTACTTTCCATTTCCTTAAGCACAGCCATCATTGCCAGCTCAAGTGATTGGTATAACATGTCCTATAATCCTTTGGTGACTTTTCTTGCCTGTGCCACTTGAGAGATGGAGCCAGCAGGCATCAGTCCTAAAGAATTTATTGACGAAGCACTGCCCGCGAATAAGTGGTCTCTGAAAAAAATTCAAGGTTTGTTCTTAGGTTGCTGTAGAAACAGATGTCTAATAGATACTGTTGATGATAACTGATTTTAATTGTCAAAAGGAACAAACCTGGACCTTCCTGCAAGGGCAATAGATGAAAGAGCGTCAGTTTCAAGGAAGTAATACTACCTCACTGTACCCCTGTGGCGACTGTCCCCACACAGTGTGTGCACGCGCTGAATGTCTGCTATCCATAGACAGTCTCAATCATGCTCTTCATGAATATACTTTTGAGATTCCAGCGCTAATGCTTTAACTGCCTTTTTGTTGAACTGTGGGGCTCTGCTGTGTGTTCAGATACTGTTTGTTCTCCCTGGTGTGCTGTTTCCTGAGGGCTGGGCTGTGTCTGAGGAAGTAAGACATTGCCTTTGCAGTGAAGGATTCTCGTCCTTTAGTCATGGTGGGAAAGGCACATCATTTTAGCATACTTGGTTTCTAAATCACTGCTTATTTTATTTGCAGTCTCTAAAATCAAGTCTCATTTCAATTATGTCTTATTGAAGAAGTCTTTCTGGCTAGAAAGATGCTCTTATATTCTTTGACCATGAAGCACCTGAGTTTGAAGATACAGAAAGCCTTGTTTTCTCTGTGTGGTTCAGCTACGTTCCACTTGGTATTATGCACTCAAACTTACCTTTATCTATTACAATTGCCATTTTATTATGCAGTTTTCATGCACAGTAGATTCCACTTATGTCTGAAAATATCTCGTGCTGTTTTTTTTTTTTTTTTTTTTTTTTTTTGCTGACTTTAAAAGGTGTAATTTGGGCAGACATGAAAAGGAAAGGCCTTGCTTAATATATTTTTTGGATTCTGTAGGACAAAAGACAACTGGTTAACCTTGAAGTGACGGTTGTACAGTGGTTGTGCACATGCTTCAAAACCATTTGTGAGGGAATGTTTCTGCTTTCCATATATGAGAGGGAGAGAGGGCAGGACTTACTGGCCTACGAGGAAACATGAGCATTCTCTTTCCCAAAGCTCTTATTGCTAGAAGAGTTGACTTCCCATGGATTTTTACTGATTTTTCCCCTATTTGCATTGTGTACATTCTCATTGCTACACCAGTTGTTGCAGTGTTGAGAGGTTACCAGTTATATTTGCTGTTAATAGTCTATTTGTAGATTAGGATTAAAATGGGTTTAATCCATTTTTAAAGTTGTATGGATTTTTCTAAACAGGAACAGCCATTTGCAATATGGGTTTTCATAGAGATTAAACCAATTATAACGTTTATCATTAGCAGTTGAGAGCACATGTTCATATAGCAATGTAAAAACACACTAATGAGTATTTGGTAATTTCCCATTAGCATAATTTCATGTTGTACAAGTAAATTACATATACATCTCTAATTTTGGATAATATTCATTGGTTAACAATAAAGAGACAAAAGCTCATGCCTTTGAGGTCCACTGTTGTTATTTAACATGGTTTTCTCATATATTTCTTGAAATTATAGTTTGAGCCATGAACTGTATGATAGGAGAAAAGTCTGAATCCTCATATAGACTTCTTTTTATCACCCTTTTGTCCTGTAGAGGTCACAGTGACTCTTAGATTCTTGGCATCTGAAGGTGATATGGGAGTTCCAGCCATTGCTTTTTCTTTTTCCTAAGAAGACGGGGCTTCCTCTTGACGATTCTTCTCACTATTACAATTCTGGTGTTCTTCATATTCTATGCTAAGTACCTTTAGTCTTACCAAAGCTGTCATAGCAGTAAACTGGGAGTGTAGAATTGTCTTCAGTCTCTCACTAATACTTAGCAAATATTCTTAAATAGAAGGCTGACAGCTCTCAGAACACTGAAGCAAGGGTTGTTACTTTTCCTGTCTGTAAGATCAGGCAGCCATTGCTCTGATCTTGAAAAGCAAAGACTTTTTTTTTTAAATAGAATGTTTTACTTTTAATCTAGAGAAGCTTTATTTTTTTTTTGAACTAGAATTACTACTTTTAAACTTAACAAATTACTGAAATTTTTCTTTATGCACTGAAAAGTGGCTTGACATTACTCTTAGCTGGAATAATCCCCCCCCTTTTTTTAAAATTTTCATCACCTTATAGATTTGGGATGTTTTAAGAAACAGAAGGATAAACATTAAATTCACAAGTATATGTGACCAATGAAAACTCAGCTTGTTTTAAAAGTTAAAACTTGAACTAAAATATAAGTGATTATTAAATTTGCATTAATTTGCTAACCGGTGAGGCAGATGTGGCCTGTCATGTAGACTAATGTTCTCCTCAAACATTTTGGAAGTTGAGTGGATTCTGTGTGTGTTTTGATTACATCATAAAAATGTCCAAAAGCCAGGTGTGCTGGTCCACACCTGTGATCTCAGAATTCAGAAGGTGGAGGCAGGAGAATCAAGAGTTCATTGTCATCCTTGGGTACACAGTGAGTTCAAAGGCAGCCTAGGCTAAATGTCACCCTGTCTATTCCCCATGCCAAGTAAATAAACAGACCATTAGTTGCACCCCTGCCTCTACACCATAGAGAAGTCAAACATGGGTATGTTCAACCTTGGCTTTCCAGTTCCATACTTTTAACTCCTGCTTTTCCTTAGACTTATCTCTTAGTAATGAGCCCATCTTTTAGGAATTTAAGAGCTGCCATTTCCTGATGGAAAAGGCTGTGTGACTCCTGTCTCCTCTTTGACCCCTTTAGCTCTGTGAATCAAATGCTTTGACTCAAACTTGTCCACACTGCCTTAAGCATGACATTTTCCTTATGCACATACCTAGGGGTTGACGTGTTTCCTTCATGCTTATATACACACTGCCTTAAGCAT